AGTATTTGCCAGCTTGCTTGCCCTGAGATTAGAAGTGATACCTTTTTTTTTTAAAAAATGTAAGACTGGGTGTTTGAACGTATGTGTTTTAGGTAAGCCTTGGAATTCAGTTACTTTTTTATACTAGTTTTAATATTTGTTAGATATTTCAATGGATTTTTAAATTAGAAGTTTTATACAATGTACAAAAATTTTGTTCGGGTCATGATCAGAAGATCTTGTAATCGGTTTCCTCCTGGTGGCACCACTTTCTAGACAAACTGATATTTTGAGACTCCCAAAGTTTACGGGATTGTTCCATATTTCTTCATGACCTGCTAAATTGGGGGAAATCCCTGAATTTCTTAAGAGACGACTGAATCCAATCAAATTGCATGGAAGGCCTGGAGGAGTGCCCTATTCTGATTTATCAAAATGCTCAAAGTACTACAGAGGAGGAGCTTCAAAGAGGAAGCATAGCCATGAATCTTAAAAGTGGAAGCAAAGTGACTCAAGTATTCCAGGCACATGGGATTTCATATCATATCAATGTCTCTTGAGCCAGGATTTCAGGAACAAACCAAGAACTTATGGAGTGATTAACTGAGCCAGCCTCCTTTCCTTAATGGAAATCCTGATGTATTATTCTTACATGTGTAACAAGCAGTGTTCACAACTCTCATGAGTTTTTTGTGAGTCTTGTAATATTCAGTATTTTTTTAAAGCCCCACATGCAGGAGTCGTGATTATATTTAAAAAAAAAAAAAAAGAGAGCGGAGATTTTCCTGTAAAGTATTTCGAATCCACAAGAATGCAAAGAAAAAGCTTATAAACATGAACTAAAAGGGCTGAAAATCCAGAAGGCAAAATCGCAAATGTAGTATTTAAAAAAAATCTCATGATTTTAAGTCAATTTCAGTATTTTGACTCATGATTTTTGAATGCTTGGAGTTTGCAGTACTGAACATATAGAGATAATGATAAATAAAGACAAAAAAACAGAAAGCAGACAAATGAATTCAAAAGCAAGGAAATTAGATGCTTATATATATTTTTTTTACAGACACACACACTTTACAAAACAGGAAAACATTCAAGTCGTGCCAGTCAAAACATGGTATTGACATCTAAAAGAAATAGGTGGCAAAAAAGAAATAGGATTTACAAAAAAAATTGTAAAGAGCATGAATTACATACAGAAAGTTGGCTCTGTGCTCTGACAAACTGAAAAACAAGCTAGAGAGTTAAAGTGTAATTTAAAAAACAGAAATGGGCAATCAGAAATGGATGGTTGATCAACAAAAGGCTTACACACTTTTTAACAAATAAAGAAAATATCAGGTATACATGTCAGACATCTTGTGTTTGAAGAAGAGAAAGCACTATCTATGATGAAAATGGGTTGAGAGAAGAAATGCTCATGTTGTGGATAGCACCTTCAACAGCCATGTGCAGAATGACTTTAAAAAAGATGCATAATGAATTATTTGTACAGTATATTAGGTATACATGGCACTTCAAAGACAAAGAAAAGCCCATTTCCCAGGGGCTTACCAGTAAAGGGATTGTGATGCTGGCAGACCAGGTGATAGCCCATGCCAAGACCCCCACGCCTCACTAAAGACTGAAAAATGCATAGCTGGAAAGCAACCTGGCTCTCCTGTGTGTTAGTATTGTTAAAATAGATATTAGAGTTATGAGAATGTGTTTAGTGTTCAAACTTTATGAAATTCTTGTGGGATGCTGCATGTTTTACTTGTAATCTCTGTATGTCATGTTTAAGGTAATATTTAAGTGTTTGCTAAAACTGCAAAATGCCAGAGTCAGGGGAGAAGCATTACCAAGTGTGAAATACTAATTTACCACAAGAGGTGTCATCTCCTCCCCAACAAAGGCGGCCTATAGACATCAGACAAGCCACTGTGGAATGGACAAAAGACTTTGCTGATTGCACCTCGCCCCTCCTATGAACTGGAGACATGCACAAACCCTCATCCCATCAGCTGAGCTCTGGGGGAAGGGGATAAAAATCCCTGTCAAGAAAAATGATCACTATGCTGCTTGGAATTTGGAGAGAGCAAAATTTCTAAGCATAAGCAGGGGATCCCTAACTGGTTATTTTAGGTTAGCCCGAATGGACATAGACACTGCTGTCATATGCAAGTGCTATATTACCTTTTCAAACATAAGACTGTAACTCATTTGTGTGTGTGTGTTTACCACCTTTAACCTTGTAAATAACTCATTTCTTTTTCCTAACTAATCTTGAGTGAGTTTAGTACAGGATTGGCTACAAGTGTTGTCTTTGGTAAGAGATCTAAGGTACAATTGACCTTTGGGACTGGGAGTAACCTGAATATTGTTGTGATTTTTGGTGTAAGGGACCATCTATCAAAAGGTGGGCATAGGTGGCAAGATAGACTGGAGTGACCAAGGGGACTGTCTGTGACTCCACGTTAAGGCTATTTTAGTGCGTTAGGAGTTTACACGTGTTACTTGGTTGATGAAATCTAATGATATAACATAAACCTCAAACTGGCTGTATGTCCTGTTTCTTGACACACTACCCTGAGGCTGGCACTCAAGGTCATGAGCCACTCTAGACAGCATGACAAGGATGACAAAGGGAGAAAAGGGAAAGATGCAGATTTTTAATAAATTTGTAATTGCTCATATTTTTAGACACCACAGTTTTTCTTCTTCTATTATATTATTTTTAAAATTAGACAACCAGAACCAGGCTAGATGAAAGAAGAGGAGAGCAACACTTGCAAGCAAACTAAAAAGCAAGTTCTAAAGGGGTTGCAGGGTATTCAGAATCTATCGTACTGATTTGATGATAGTTCTGGGTTTTTTAAATGTGTTAGACTATTAGTATATGCAGGATTGGTGTAGCTATGTTGAATACCAGGATCCCAGGCAACACATGAGTCTTCTGTTTGGGGAGGCTTACATGCAAGCACTGGAAGTTCCCTAGGAGTGAGGAGGCCACCAATGCCCGGACCGAGACTCTGCCCCTGAGGCTCCGCCCCCACTCTGCCTCTTCCCTTGAGGCCCCGCCCTCGCTCTGCCTCTTCCCACCCACACAGCACCCTCTCCCTCTTCTTTGAGACCCCCCGTCCCGCTCCTCTCCATGTTTTCCCCTGAGGCCTGCCCCTACCTGCCGCCCTCTTCTCTCCATGGGAAAGAGGAGCGAGTGGGTCATACCTCAGGGGAAGAGGCCGAACAGGGTTGGGGCCGAGCCACGGTCTGGACACTGGTGGCCCCTCCACTTCCAGGGAGCTTCTCTTCTGGCGCTCCAAAGGCAGCGCAACTTCAAAGGGAGGTGACCCACACTGCATCTGTGGTGTTTGCCCCCCCTGCATGGGAGGATGCTTAACCTCCCCCAACCTCTTATATGCACTGCTCATGCCCAGGATATTAGAAAGACAAGGTGGGTGAGGTAATGTCTTTTATTGTATCAACTTCTGTTGGTGAAAGAGACAAGCTTTCAAGCTTGCACAGAGCAGGTCCCTTATTAGTATTTAAACACATAACAACTAGTGCTTTAATTTTTTTAGTGTTTTCTGATAGTATTTTACAAATTCACTTTTACAAATTCCAGAAAATGAGAATAGGACAACACAAAACAGATTTCAAGCAGCTTGAGTTCAATCCATATTACAGGGGGCCAAGAAGGATTAGAAATGCATCAACAGTATGTCAAGGGTCATTGCACCTCAAAGGTATTAAATGTATTTTTGACACAAAGTTTCACTTAATATCTCCAACTTACAACTGCAATAACTTCAAAAAGGACAGAGTGTGGGTGGTTCTTTTAAATACATTATTAAAAAATATTACCATGTAAGCAAAGAAAGCAATTTTTAAAATAACAAAGAGTTTTAGGTTGGTTAGTTTTAAAGAGACAAAGGACCATATTTATATTCTGGACTAAACATTTTGAAGTTAGATGTTAGAAGCAAAAGGGGTTTTGTTTTTAAGGATTCCTGCAGCAAAGTTAAAACAAAAAGGTTGCTAGGAGAAAGTCAATCTTAATCAACACAAATTAAGCTATAGAGCAATAGTTTTCTGCAATTATAATCAGAAACCTTCAGCAATTCTTCCAATGCCAAATTTGCAGAGAGAATTTATTCTCTGCCACAGATAATTTTGCCTTTGTTTAAAATATTTTTGTTTCTTGCCATTTCTATATCACTCAGTACTGTAGAGCATTACAAAATATCAGAGGTGCTCATATTTGATGCATGAGTCACTAGACTACCATTGTTACTTGGATTTGTACTGCAATTTCCTCAATGTACAAGAGGCTTCTCTAAAATTAATTGACAGAAGCTTTGCTCAAATGATAAGTGTAGTAGAAATAATTATGTATTAATAGGTTAAGTGGTTCCTTTCATTTCCTTACAGCACAATTAAAATCTGCTTTTGCTTCCAGACACTTCTCCACTGATTCATGAATAACTCTGCTAGGAATTTATATACTGGTACCTAATTGCCTTCATACAGCTTGAAATGGGTGAGGTATTGCCAGTATTTCCTTCTCAGAGCTAAATAAATTCTTGTTCTGATTTAGGAGCAATGTGTTCCATGGGATACAAAAAATGTGACAGTTCTCTGTTGTCATGCTGTTTCTGGGAGCCCCAACATTTTAGTATTGCAAGATTTGTCACTCAGACACAGAACCTTTTGAGATGGATTAATCTCTCTCATTTGAGTACTTAAGTGCTACTTATTTTAATGGGACACCTGTAACTGGGACATGCTAGATGAAACTGGATTGGTTTAGTGATCACCATAAAACTCAAGTTAGAATTCTGGAAATATTTTCCCATTATGCTGCAGCATGACAAGGGGCCTGGTTAATTGTTAGCTCAAAACTTTGATAGGCCCTGAATACATGCTGTTTATAAATCTTTCCATTATGAAAAAAGATCATAAACTAGGTACCCACTGCCTTTAAGGAAACGAGAGAAACCAAAGACTAGACACACAGACAACAACATACACTCTCTACCCACCTGGTGGTCCCTCCTTGTAAAGTTTTAGGTGAGCTAGAGACAAAAGCATAAGCAAGAGTGCATTTTAGCCTCAAACAATATATTTATATTTTCATATTCATTACATATCAGATATAGTCCTCGGTGATTCTCATGTCAAACAGCAGTAGTTCTAAAGGCTTCATTACTCATCATTGTCACTATTCACTACTGCAAACCCATCTACACTATTATCAGGAAAAATTGTGTCTCGATTGTTAACTGCTATTAAAGATTACCATTTCTGCTAAAAGTTAAGTCATAAGTACATTTTTAGAACCCTTGAATTCCACACTGATACCAGAGAAACTCCATTTTGAAGTCCCCAGACTCCATTTTGTAATTCTGGCTTCCAATATAAATAAGAAAGAGTCACTCCACCATTAGATGGAAGCTGCAGGTCACATAGCACTGAATATAAAATTGGCAGGAAAGACCAAATTAGCAGGGATCCAGCAGATCATAACACTCTGAGATAAACAGCAGCCATGTGAATGAATGTGTAGTAGCAAAAGAAAAAAATGAATGAAGATGGAATGTGTAGTAAAAGAAAAAACACTATAAAAAGTGTCTGGAAAGCTCTGACAGGACTGTCTAAAAGGCAGTGTGTCAGTGGGCAGCCAAGAAAGTCAGAGCTGAGGTGCTGACAGTGCAGATGGAGCTGAGGAGAATGGACCGGAAAAGAGCAGATGAGAGGAGACCTGAAGAAGCAACCAAGAAAGCAGCAGCAGCGACAGCAAGCAGCAGTAGCACCAGAAGGAGTCCTGTGTCAGCAGATAGCGTAAGTTTGTCAGTTATAATTACAGGATAGTCTTAGAATGTGTATGTGTTGATAATGAAAGAAATGTATAAGATTTAAAGCATTTAGGGACTGTGTCAGCAGCCTGTGACAGACTAGTCATCTGTAACAGGGTGCAACCACTTAGAATCTTCTCAGCTGTATGTTATTGCAGTTGCGGTGCTCTTTAAATTGCTAAAGGGATTTTTGTTTTTAGATTACGACTGTATTGTGGATTATTTTTTATACAAATAAAAAGGTGCCTTGTTTTGGAAAAGGATACTGCTTATGTCAATCAATAGCATTTATCAGAAGGCTGTATCTGTGTCCTCCGGGAATTTCTTTAGCTACCCTGGAGATCCATACCATAGGAGAACAGATAGGTGAACAGGTAGGCTGTTTTAAGGGAAAACCTTTTAGAAGATATTTAAATTAATCTGTTTTTGAGGGAATCTTAGGTAAACCCAGGAGGGGGCGATAGGTGAGCTATTCTGAGGGTACCCGAATTCTGTTTTCAGGGTAACACCATATGTGATTCAGTTAACGACAGCTCAGGTATGGAAACACCCACTTATAAAACAAACCTGCAAGCATTCCTACAAAAGTCACAACACAAGATATTATACGTATATACATGCATGCTGTAGAATGATTAAAGCATCTGTCTTACCCACCCACCCCTTTAAGGTTTTCACGTGGACATGACAAGTGCCAAGGTAATTAAATTAACCACTTACCATGAAACTCAGTCAACTTGCTTAACAGAACAAGGAATCTGACTCATCCCAGAAATTATGCTCAGAATTTTTCCTCACAGATTTCTATCCCATATAACTTGATCTGAAGCCAGAGATGGGGATGAAGATTTTGTTTTTATAAACAAGCAAATAAATAAAAGTGATGTTTTCACTGATGAAGTGGCTATGCTCCTATATCTTGTCTACAAGCCAGGGTGAAAATTTAGTGTGGAACTCGCAGGAGAAAAATCCCCCTAAGCAGCGTATTAGGTGTGTTAGTGTGTGATAAAATTGAAGCATATGCAACATTACAAGCGATAACAAAAGTATAAGCACAGACTTCAGTTTCCCAAACAGTACATACTACAGCAAGAATCTCTCTCTAATGTGTAACATACCCAGTAACGTGAAAGATGACTAATTTTCATTGGACACTACACATACTTTACACAACAGCTTAGCACATGAAATTTATTGTCATACCAACAGGAAAAAATATTTGTATAAGGAACAATGCACACAATTGTTTTGCTAAATACAATACACACCCTTCTACCTTTGGTATGTGATACATAGCAAAATTCCCTGTACAGTAAAGAGTTCACATAAGTGTGAGTAAAAAGCATAAGCATTAAACAGGTATTAGTCACCATAGAATGCACATTCCAGGATGTTGCCTTAAACAAAATATGTGCATAATATGGTGCCACTAATACCAACCTAGACAAAGACAAAGAACATTTAATTTTACCCATTAAAAATTAACTTTGACAAGCTCTAAGTGCACTTACAAAAGTTAAAACAAACCAAACCAACAGCTTCCTCCACCTCTATAGCCCTCCTTTCTTCTCCTTACCCATTCCTGGGTAAACAGATGAGCTTCACATGCTGTCCTAAAAGACAAGTTTGCAACTTAACTGAAAACTCAGCACTCTGCAAAATGGTGAAAAGAGGGATTGTGCATGCGCAGCATGATGGTGCTAGTCGTTTTGGGCTCTACAGTGAATCAGGTGGTTTTGTTTGAGATTTCCTTTGGGAATGGGGCAGCAGGAAGAGCAGAGAGTTAGACCCCAATTCAGGACAGCACCGAAGCACGGGCTATTTTCCTGAATCAGCGTAACCTGAGCAATGATGAGCTCTCTCAGTTGCAGCATAGCCCCGAAATACAGCTAAAAGTAAGGCCACGCCTACTTCTTCCCAGTGAACCTGATTGATATCAAAGTTTAGTTAAGAAGTTTCCCGCATAAATCTTCAGACCACCTTCCAAACATAAGGGCTTGCTTCTCCAAACATCAAATAAGAAATCAGAAGTTCTCTGAAATTAACTGAAAGCTAAAATCATTAGTAAAATTCATAATGAAGAACTGTAAAGTGTAGCGGCTTCATTATTGTAAAAAAAAAAAAAAAAAAAAATCTCAACTATTAAACAGAGTATAGAGGAGTATCTGAAAAATAAGGCTAAAACAAAAAGTTAACTGCTGGAGAACAAACGTACCAGAAAAAGTTTGATAACTAATGAGCAACCTACCATTCCTCTGATGTAGCACATCTTACAGTACCGATTCTCCACTTACTCCTAATGATACTGATTCATTGCAGTTCTGAACAGGGCACTTTCTTGATTTGCTTGCCCATATTCATCACCAGCCCCACTATTCTCAACTTTCTTGTCTTTTTTCTGAAGAACTCTCTACATTTCCTCCTCCATTACTTTCCCAAGCAATTTTCTGTTTCAGCCGCTAGGTGCCACCAGTACATCCTCCCACATTGCTGCATAACTATATGTGGGTATAACTTAAATCCACAGGCATGATCCTGCATCCTTTTTCAGTCAAAACTCCTACTGTTTGAATAAGGAACGCTCTAACATTCTGCCCAGCAAACTCAGGCTAAAGTAACTGTTGGAAAATGTTATATTCAGCAATTAAAAATATTCTAGCTTGTATTGACATTTAAATTAAAAATATAATTAAAAGGAATTTAAATATACCTAGAATTAAGGTGAGAATTTAGGAAAATATGGCATTCACAAAATTCACAAAAAAAATGCCTTAAATGCATTTTTTAAAACATCCAGTCAATTTAAGCTGAACATTAAAGGCTCATAAAAACTGTGATCAGTAGAATCATAGAATATCAGGGTTGGAAGGGACCTCAGGAGGTCATCTAGTCCAACCCCCTGCTCAAAGCAGGACCAATCCCCAACTAAATCATCCCAGACAGGGCTTTGTCAAGCCTGACCTTAAAAACTTCTAAGGAAGGAGATTCCACCACCTCCCTAGATAACCCATTCCAGTGTTTCACCACCCTCCTATAGTGAAAAAGTTTTTCCTAATATCCAACCTAAACCTCCCCCACTGCAACTTGAGACCATTACTCCTCGTTCTGTCATCTGCTACCACTGAGAACAGTCTAGATCCATTCTCTTTGGAACCCCCTTTCAGGTAATTGAAAGCAGCTATCAAATCCCCCCTCATTCTTCTCTTCCGCAGACTAAACAATCCCAGTTCCCTCAGCCTCTCCTTATGAGTCATGTGTTCCAGTCCCCTAATCATTTTTGTTGCCCTCCGCTGGACTCTTTCCAATTTTTCCACATCCTTCTTGTAGTGTGGGCCCCAAAACTGGACACAGTACTCCAGATGAGGCTTCACCAATGTCGAATAGAGGGGAACGATCACATCCCTCCATCTGCTGGCAATGCCCCTACTTATACATCCCAAAATGCCATTGGCCTTCTTGGCAACAAGGGCACACTGTCGACACATATCCAGCTTCTCGTCCACTGTAACCCCTATGTCCTTTTCTGCAGAACTGCTGCCTAGCCATTCGGTCCCTCGTCTGTAGCGGTGCATGGGATTCTTCCGTCCTAAGTGCAGGACTCTGCACTTGAACCTCATCAGATTTCTTTTGGCCCAATCCTCCAATTTGTCTAGGTCCCTCTGTATCCTATCCCTACCCTCCAATGTATCTACCTCTCCTCCCAGTTTAGTGTCATCTGCAAACTTGCTAAGGGTGCAATCCACACCATCCTCCAGATCATTTATGAAGATATTGAACAAAACCGGCCCGAGGACCAACCCTTGGCGCACTCCGCTTGATACCGGCTGCCAACTAGACATGAAGCCGTTGATCACTACCCGTTGAGCCCGACAATCTAGCCAACTTTCTATCCACCTTATAGTCCATTCATCCAGCCCATACTTCTTTAACTTGCTGGCAAGAATACTGTGGGAGACTGTGTCAAAAGCTTTGCTAAAGTCAAAGAATAACATGTCCACTGCTTTCCCCTCATCCACAGAGCCAGTTATCTCGTCATAGAAGGCAATTAGATTAGTCAGGCATGACTTGCCATTGGTGAATCCATGCTGACTGTTCCTGATCACTTTCCTCTCCTCTAAGTGCTACAGAATTGATTCCTTGAGGACCTGCTCCATGATTTTTCCAGGGACTGAGGTGAGGCTGACTGGCCTGTAGTTCCCCGGATCCTCCTTCTTCCCTTT